ACTGTGGTGTGTGTGTGACAGCAGCACTGGATGACGGAGACAGGGCACTGTGGCATGTGTGACAGCAGCACTGGGTGACTGAGGCACTGCACTGTGGTGTGTGTGACAACAGCACTGGGTGACCGAGACAGTGCACTGTGGTGTCTGTGACAGCAGCACTGGGTGACCGAGACAGTGCATGGTGGTGTGTGTGACAGCAGCACTGGATGACAGTGCACTGTGATGTGTGTGACAGCAGCACTGGGTGACTGAGAGAGGGCACTGTGTTGTCTGTGACAGCAGCACTGGATGACAGGGCACTGTGGCATGTGTGACAGCAGTACTTGACTGCTGAGAGCATGTACAGGGACCCCAGGGTTCCTTCAGGGACCTCAGTTCTGCCTTCTTTTCAGTCTTACAGGAGGAGGCACCAAGTTGGCTCACCCTCCTGATGAGATGGTTGATTAGGTCCATCGGGCTCTGACTGGGCACTGGCTCTCCAGAGGAGTGGTGCCTCTGGCATTGCCCAGCATCACAGCTGCCTCCTCCCATTGGCCTCTCCAGTCCAAGGTCTTATCTTGCCTTCGATCGTGTACTGAGGGATAGAACTCGGGTTGTGTAGTCCGTAGGGAATCACCTGTCAATCCGAATGCAGGGCCTCTTGGGCAGTTCAAATCCACCAGCAAGTCATTGAGAGAAAGCTGAGAAATCTCCTCTCATGCGATTTACAGTTTCTAAAAACCTGCTCAAGGGTCAGTTGAGTCGAGATAGATCCCACAGTGAAGAACCATACTGGGATATAAAGGAGCCACACACTTGAGAGAGTAAAATTCCTTCATTTGGAAAATCAGGCAGACCTTTCCATTTATGGTAAGCATATTAAACATTTTATATGAATGTCAAAAACATGAACGACAACAGAAATAATTTGAAAGGTCTTTCTGAAAGGCACTGAGAATATGGTACCCAAAGTGGCAATATAGTGCAACAATTTAACAAGTCAACAAGTCAGTCTAAATATTGAAGCTTTCCCCTAGTAGGAACTGCAAAAACATACATGTTTTCTTTCATCCCCATCACTCATTCTCTTATTATATTGGATTTAATCCTTTTCTCAGCTATAATTTGAAGGTTACATACAACAGGACAGGGAGATCTTGTTAATATTCACGATGCATTTTAAAGTAGAAATCACATGTCCTCTCCTACTCTCCATTACCAAACACTCCTCTCAGCGTTTTAGAATGACATGGTTATAAAAAGAATACCAAAGTGTTGATCTGACGGAGGCCCTGGCTGGGCCGGGAAGGGACTGGGCTGTCAGGACTGCACAGGGCCCCAGGCCCGCTCATGGAAGAATGGAAAGAATATTGCTTCACCTGTGGACTGCCTTGGGAGCTGATGTAAGGCTCCCTCAGAGTCATGGTGAGACTTTGTCTCACATACGTTGGGCCTGCGATCAGGAATGCCAGTCCCTGGAAAAGGACATCATGCTGGAAAAAGCAGGGGTTCAGGAAAGGAAAGGAGATGGATAGTACAGGAACTATGACCGTGGGCTCCAGCCCAGCAGAGATGGTGAGTTGGCCGGCAGAGCTGGGTTCTGGTCTATCGTATGTGGGGTCACTGTGAGTCAAAGCAACTCAAACATGTTGGACGAGAGTGTGCACCCAAGCAGTGGGCATAAGGACCTTGGGGGAGTGAGTTTGTATTGGGCAGATTCTCCACCTGGGGTTGCAGGCAGACAGGGCCGAGTGGCCTCAGAGTCCTTGTACCCGACCCATGCCAGTGGACAGCCCCTCACAGCTGCACCTGCGGGATCAGGAACACAGACGTGGCCAGAACCAGGGCTGGACTCATGCTGCACACTGATGGACAGTCACACACCCCACAGGCCAGCTGGGGACCCAGCAGAGCTAGGGCAGGAATGTGTGCTCTGAGGCTTTGGGTGGCACCATTGTGGGCAGGGCACCTTTGGGGAGCATTCCCGGCACCCTGCTCTGGCCGTGCGTAGCCCACGGCGGTGAGTCCAGAGGCTCGCGTTTGACCAGGGATGCTGCCCCAGGCACCCTGCAATTGGGTCTCAGCGTGCACAGCTGACGCACACCCAGGTCCTGCTGTGTGTGGTGCGGGGTCTCAGGGCCCAGTGGGCTGCACAAGTGCTCCAGGAAGGCACAGCCAGCTGAATACCAGGGGCATGTTCTGGCAGGGGGTTTGCAGTGGTGGTGGGGCCCCAGCATGCTGGCCCCAAGGTGCGGGGTGTAGGTGCAGGGGGGCAGATGCCCAGCGTCCGGCTCTGTCTTCAGGTGAACCCGGGTAGGGACACTGGCCGGCTGTCTCTTGACCAGCTCACTGGCTCCCAGCCACACCTGGCCTGGAGGCACCGCGGAGCTGTCCACCGTGTCCTCACTTTCCACTTTGATGGGCACGTCCAGTGACAGCACAGGGCTGCTCAAGGCTTCTGAGGCCAAAGGTGCACCCCGCACTGTGGTGTCCTCTGCAGGATAGCCCCCTGCAGGGAAGCGTTGTGCCCCGAGGTGAGGGAGCCCGTTCCCCAGGCTCCCCTGGGGGAAGGGGCAGCTGATGGGTGGGGGCACCAGGGCCTGGTCACAATCCTGCCAAGGCCTGCTGGTCCGGCTATAGTGGGCGTTGAGGGGGTGGTCTATCGGAGGGACACTGGGTGTACCTCTGAATGGGGCACCCCTGCCTGCAGCGAGCATGCCCGGGCCGTCTGCGTAAGGCGTGCAGACGCCCCGGGGCTGCGTGTGCCCGGGGAAGGGGCTGTGCCTGCGGGTACCCAGCTCTGGCTTCGGGCAGCCCTCCCTGAGCCTCTCTACCGTCCAGCCGGAGGGCCTCGTTCTCCCCACCTCCAGGCAGCAGCTGTACGTGGGCGTGTCCTTCTGTCCCCTGACACATGCATTTCTGCTCAGCACCCTCCTTCGGGCCTCTTCCTCCAGGTCCCTGCGGAGAACACAGACCCCACTGACCGCACAGTGGGCAGTCCTGGAGGGAAGGGCTGGTGGAGAGCTGCCAGGCAGTGACTCCCCTGAGCCCTGGTATGAAGGGGAGGCCAAGAGCTGCCCACTTTAGCGTCTCCCCAACTTCTGGCCCACCATGGGGACAGCAATGTGTACAGCATGCTGGGACACTCCAGGTCTGCATGTGGCAGGAGAGGGCAAGGTGGTCAAGTTCTCAGGACAGACCAGGACGGGGTCGACTACTCCTTTTCCTTAAGAACCCCCGCCCCTTAGCTGAACCCTGGCTGTGACAGGGACCACAGCTGGACACCACTTACCCCAATATTCCCTCGGGATCAAGGATGAGGTCAGTGCCGAGGCATGGACATGAGGCCCTTGCCGGAGTCTGGGCCCAGCGGTCAGTGTCCATGTGGGCTCCAAATGCTGGCCCACCATTCTCACCATGGCTTCTTCCTGGGGACATTGGAGAGGACAAGGTAGCCCCTGGCCGGAGAGCAGCCCCTGGCCTCAATGACCTGGCTTCCAGCATGCCTCAAGCAATTCCTGGATCAGACAAATTGACCCCCAGCATGCTTCCACCCACAACACCCCAGGGACCAAAAGGCAGGGCCCAGGGTCACACAGCCCCCTGCACCCCCAAAGAGCAAGCCAGGGCTTCCAGACAGCGGAGAGCCTTTCTTGAAGTAATTCCAAAGGTGTGACTAGAGTTACCTGTACGGTAGCTGTATCTCCCACGCACTTCTGCCTCACTCAGACTCGGGGCAACAGCCGACCTGTGGACGACAGACAGTGGAGAAACAGTGGGAGTCAGACGGAGGGGTCCTCACGGGCCACCACCAACAGAGGACTGATGTCCACTCAGGGGAGAAGCCACAACTGCCAGCCAAATGGCCGAGGAAGACAGGCCGTGGCGACTGAGACAGGAAGAGCCATGGTTGTGTCCTCTGAGAAGGGTAAAAGCCACGTCTGTCATCTTCCAACACGGAAAGGAGCCACAGCAGCTGTCCAAGAGAAGGGAAGGAGGTACAGCTGTGTCCACTGGGTGTGGGGTGGGGGAAAGGAGCCACACCGCTGTCCATCAGAGAAGGAAGGGGTACAGCAGTGTCTACAAGGGGGGGAAGGAGCCACGTCCACCATCCACTTAGAGGAGCCACAGCTGCTGTCCAAGAGGAAGGAAGGAGGTACGGTTGTGTCCACTGGGGGGTGGGGGTGGGGTGGGGGGAAGGAGCCATGTTGCTGTCCATCAAGACAACAAGGAGCCACAGCCCCATCCACTCACACAGGAAGGGATTATGGTCCCGTCCTCCAAGAGAGAGCCACAGCTGTGTCCATTGAGATGGGAGGAGCCACAACCACCATCTACAAAGAAGGAGGAATTCTCCCCAGAGAATAAACTTCCCCTGACACACACGGGGGACAGGAGTCCACTCTACACCCACACAGAGCTCCCTGACACACTCAGAGGGACAGGAGTCCACTCTACACCCACACAGAGCTCCCTGACACACCCGGGGGCACCAGCCCACATGTGTCACTGTACTAGAGAAGTAAGTTAACTGGCTTCCTTTTCTTCTTTATACAACCACACAGCAGTTGGTGCCTCCCTCTGTTTTTCTCCTTGTAGTCTAAGTTTTAACAACATTGGTGTACAATGGACTTTCTTCTATTTGGAGACCCAACCCTGTTCCCAGGGTGTCTATAGCAAGCACATCCCTCAGCCTTTCCTCAAGTGCCGTCTTTCCAGTATCACTATGCCCCATCTTTCTCCTGACTGGAGCCCAAGATGTTAACCATCCAACTTTGGTGGTCACCCACCATGTGACCTACCACAATGACACTTGCAAACCTTGTAATCCTTCACCTCACATAAATAATCCTCACAAAATCACATACTTTCTGTCCCACACCTTGCTGTCTGCACACCCTTCTGTCCCCACACCTTGCTGCCTGCACACCTTTCTAGTCTCACACCTCTCTACCCTCACATCTTTCTGCCAGCACACCTTCCTTTCCCCACACCTTTCTGTCCTCACACCCTCCGCCCCAATCTTGCTGTCCTAACACCTCTCTGCCCTCACACCTTTCTGTCCCCACACCTGCTTCCCCACGGACAGCACCACCAGCATCTCCAGCAGAGGGGGCTGTATTCTGCGTATGTGCAGTTCGCCTTCCAGAGCCCTGGGACCCACTGCGCGCTGCACTTCCTGCGGACACCAGGGGCAGGCTCCACACAGACTAAGTTGGGAGCTTCCCCTTTCATCAGCTTTTAACACTAGAAAGAGATATGGAAAATAGAAAGCTCATGAAATGAATTCCTCTGACTAAAATAAAAATTGCAGTGGACCTCACCTGATGGCCCACACAAGAACTGGACTGATTACATCTGAAATAAATCAGACTCGTTTGAGAAACAATTGTTGAAAGAATAGTTGGAGAAGCTCAGTATCAGCTATGAAAACTAGGCCAGATGCTGATTATGGAACAGACGGTCAACTACTCATAGACAAGTTTAAACTGAAGCTAAAGAAGGTCAAATCAAAGCCACAGGAATCCAAATTTGGCCTTGAGTCTTTCCCACCTGAAGTAAAAAACTATCTCAGGAACAGGCTTGAGGCCTTGAACACTAACGAACAAAGACCAGATGAGCTGTGGAAGGATGTGAATAATATTATCCAAGAAGAATGCAAAAGGTTATCACAATGGCAGAGGAGGAAGAAAAGACTGAGAGAGATGTCAGAAGAGACTCTTGAAAAAAAAAAAAAGAAGAGACTCTGAATATTGTGTTAGGGAGCCGAGAAGCCAAAGAAAAGGGAAGAAATCAGGAAGTTAAGGAACTGAAATGAAAACGTCAAAGGGCAGCTCAGGAAGACAAAGCAAAGCATTACAACAAAATGTGCAAAGAACTGGAGTTAAGAGTATCAAAAGGGCTGAACTCATACCCACTCAGCATTTACTTTTTAGGGGGTAGTTTGGGGTTTTTTAAGTTGTTTAACTTTTAAAAAAAATTTATACTGGTTTATTTATAAAGTTCAAACACATTGTCTTTCACATGGGGTCTTTCCCATTTCCTTCACACACCTCCATCAAATTGTGCAACCTTATGATTGATTACCCTCCCATCCTTACCCCTCTGCTTCCACCCCCACCCCTCTTTGGATCCTCGTTCTACAATAATGGTCTTATAAAGTATTTGTCCTTACAAGACTGAGTCAGTTCACTGAGCATAGTGCTCTCAAGTCCCTCCCATGTCAGGCAGTAATTTACAAAATCACTGCTCATGCGTGCTGTGTAGTATTACATCATGTGAATGTACCATAAATTCTCAATCCATTCAATTGTGGTTGGACATCTGGGCTGTTTCCATGTTCTTGTGATGATGAATAACTCAGCATTTCTTAAGCTGAAGGAACTGAAGAACAAATTCAAGTCTAGGGTTGAGATACTATAGGCAGAATATTGAATGGTCCAGGAAGCATCAAAAGAAAATGGAAGTGATACAGGAAGTCACTGTTCCAAAAAGAACTGAATAAAAAAAAGTCTTTTTATAAAATAAATTAAAAAAGAACTTGAAGCTAAAAATATTATCACAACGAATTACAAACCACTGAATAAAAGTGACCATTTTAGTCCATATCAAGAAAATAAATTCATTCATATATTGAAAGAATGACTAGCATGGAACATCAATAGAAAAGTTCTAGAAAAATCAAGCTTGATTCAAGAAGAGGTTATGGAACAAGGGATATTATTACTGACATCAGATGGGCCTAACTGAAAGCAGAAAATGCTAGAAATATGTCTACTTGGTTTTATTGACTATGCAAATGTATTAGGCTGTGTGGATCATAATAAATTATGGCCAACGTTGAGAATAATAATTCCAGAGCATGCACTTGTGCTCTAGGGGAGGTGTACAATGGCCAAGAACAGGAGAAGAAGATACTACATGGTTTGAAAACAGGAAAAGTGTGTGTCAGTGTGATGACTTCTCACCATCCTTATTTTAACCTGTGTGCTGGGCAAAAACACTCCAGGAAGATGGACTGTATG